TTAGGTCATATATGTGATGACACACAGTATAAGGTCATAGATGTGGTGACGCAGTATAAGGTCATAGATGTGATTGACACACACTATAAGGTCATAGATGTGATGACACACAGTATTAGGTCATAGATGTGATGACACACAGTATTAGGTCCTAGATGTGGTGACACACAGTATAAGGTCATAGATGTGATGACACACAGTATAAGGTCATAGATGTGATGACACACAGTATAAGGTCATAGATGTGGTGACACACAGTATAAGGTCATAGATGTGATGACACACAGTATAAGGTCTTAGATGTGATTGACACACAGTATAAGGTCATAGATGTGGTGACACACAGTATAAGGTCATAGATGTGATGACCCAGTATAAGGTCATATATGTGATGACACACAGTATAAGGTCATAGATGTGATGACACACAGTATAAGGTCATAGATGTGATGACACACAGTATAAGATCATAGATGTGATGACCCAGTATAAGGTCATAGATGTGATGACACACAGTATAAGGTCATATATGTGATGACACACAGTATAAGGTCATAGATGTGATTGACACACAGTATAAGGTCATAGATGTGTTGACACAGTATAAGGTCATAGATGTGATTGACACACAGTATAAGGTCATAGATGTGATTGACACACAGTATAAGGTCATAGATGTGGTGACACACAGTATAAGGTCATTGATGTGGTGACACACAGTACAAGGTCATAGATGTGGTGACATAGTATAAGGTCATAGATGTGATCACACACAGTGTAAGGTCATAGATGTGATTGACACACAGTATAAAGTCATAAATGTGGTGACACACAGTATCAGGTCATAGATGTGATGACACACAGTATACGGTCATAGATGTGGTGACACACAGTATAAGGTCATAGATGTGATGACACACAGTATAAGGTCATATATGTGATGACACACAGTATAAGGTCATAGATGTGATTGACATACAGTATAAGGTCATAGATGTGATTGACACACAGTATAAGGTCATAGATGTGATGTCACACAGTATAAGGTCATAGATGTGATGACACACAGTATAAGGTCATAGATGTGATTGACACACAGTATAAGGTCATAGATGTGGTGACACACAGTATCAGGTCATAGATGTGATGACACACAGTATAAGGTCATAGATGTGGTAACACACAGTATAAGGTCATATATGTTGTGACACACAGTATAAAGTTACACATGAGATGACACAGTATAAGGTCATAGATGTGATTGACACACAGTATAAGGTCATAGATGTGATGACACACAGTATAAGGTCTTAGATGTGATGACACACAGTATAAGGTCATAGATGTGGTAACACACAGTATAAGGTCATATATGTTGTGACACACAGTATAAGGTTACACATGAGATGACACAGTATAAGGTCATAGATGTGATTGACACACAGTATAAGGTCATAGATGTGGTGACACACAGTATCAGTCATAGATGTGATGACACACAGTATAAGGTCATAGATGTGGTGACACAGTATAAGCTCATAGATGTGATGACGAACAGTATAAAGTCATATATGTGATATGACAGTATAAGGTCATAGATGTGATGACACAGTATAAGGTCATATATGTGATATGACAGTATAAGGTCATAGATGTGGTGTCACAGTATAAGGTCATAGATTTGATGACACACAGTATAAGGTCATAGATGTGATGACACACAGTATAAGGTCATTGTACATCAGTAAAGCAGCATTAAAACTATTACCTTACCAACTTACCAAACTATTAAAACAGTGTATAATGAATGACATCAGAACACTCTGTTCTCTAATGGAAATTGTACTCTCATCAGCCACACTCAGGTCTAACACTTTTCTGAAGAATGCCGGGAAATGATCTGGGTTCTTCTTAAAAACCTGGACAAATGATGAAAGCAAGTTATATTTCAAAATTCTTACAATATCAGGTGATTCCTAAGTCCCCACTCTGGATTGGTGTAATGAAATATTCAAACATTTCATTAGTAAGACTGTATATTAGTGAATACATTCACTACAACACTACAAAAAAAAAGGCTGGTGATCGAATGGTGTATTCAAATAAGCAAGAAGTGTGACCTATAACATCGATGCTATGTCTGACTTGTACCAGTTAGTATCAGTTTGCAATAGTGAGGTTCTCTTTAGATGACAAAAGTGACTGTAAATGTAAGAGTGCTCTCCCCATAGATAAACATTATTAATTCAATACAACAAAGCAATGACATTGAATAGCAAAAATCCAATACCAATTCATTACAAGCCATTTTGTTTGTAATAAGCAATTTATTTTAGATCTTTTATTTATGCTAATCAAAATCCAGATAGATAAAGACAGAATACCCCTGGTACCACACAGTTGGTGGTATATCCAATGTAATCTGTACTGTAGACAGACTCACCTGCCATGCTGGAACCTTTTCTCTGAATTTCTCATTAATCATAACAGCAATGCTGAGACAGTGAGCCTGTGAAGTCTAATGTACGTACATATAGTATCGAATTAGATATCGATACAATTCATTCAAAACCAAAGGAGTGTACACTTTTGATTTTACACAATTACTACTGTG